TGTCATCAACCCAGTTGCTCCATACAGGGTTTTTAGCTTTACCATCTTGCCATTGTACCACCAAATGCCTAATCATCACCTGCTGCATCCCTGCATAGGCTGCCATTTTGGGATGTGTTGCAGCTTGAATAATTTCTTTATTGCAGAACTACTTTAGGATGAATCAGTAAGTCCATGAATTAAATAAACTAAACTCAGATCTGGTACACATGTTTTGATCTGAGCCACCTATGTGATTCACCTAGAGTTACAATTAAGAAGCTATGCCGTTAAATGGAAGAAATGTGGGCTTTGATGTCAGATTGGCTATATCTGAATATTATCTGCCATTTACTAGTTGTGGGGTCTCAGAAAACAAAAAAAAAAAAAAACAAACAAAAAAAACCTTAACTTCTCCAACTCTCTTTATTATCATCCCTAGAATAGGTATAATAATAACAACTGCCTTAAAAGTTTTCTGTAAATATTAAATGAGACAATATATATTAGATGACTGGTACAGAGTAAGTGGTAAAAAACAAAACAAAACAAAACAAAACAATTTGGTTCCCCCCCGCCCAATCTGGCTTGTCGTACTGCTAATTAATTTCTAGTTCTCACTCTCAGGAGATCAAGAAAAAATAGAGTGACAGATGTTCAAGGAAGTGATAGCTTCTGATTTATACTGTAAGGACCTATTTAGAAACTGTCCCTGCTCCCCTTCCCCCAGAGGATTTACTTGGAGACAAGTCCCGGAAACCAGCTTCAGGTAACAAAGCCTAGATACAAAGGTGGGTCAGGCCAGGTGGAGACATCTAATCATGCGGTGGGGGGGGGGGATGCATACTGTCTCCCTGGTTACTAAGGAGTATGGGCCCCGCCCTTTGGGCGCCAATCCCAATCAAGGTGTAATAGGCTGGTTCAAATGTCTACTAGGGTAAATTGTAACTCAATTGGTCACCTAGCATCACTGTGGAGTTTCCTGTGTGTGTTACAATCTCATTGGCCACCTGTGCATGGCCAGGCCCAACCACATGGCCTTTGCCCTTAAAAGCTAGTCTGTGAAACAGAGAAGGGTCGCCCTCTCTTGCAATAGGTGCGTCCCCGAACGTTCGGTTAGATTCTTGATGCTTGGCGCAAAATAAATCTTTGCTTGACCTTCGCTTTGTTATCAGTCTCGCTCCTTTAATCACGGACCCATTATTGGGGGATAACAATACAAAGAAATAACCTGTTTTGGAGAAACTGCCATAAATACCTGATTTGAAACTTTTTTTTTTTTTAATCTGGAGCAAAGAACTTGAGAAAAGCAATGACAATATGTTGAACTTCATACAAATAGGTCCAACAGTGAGGCATATATTGTTAGTTGTTTTTGCAAGTGCTGGTGGTGAAGTAACCATACTCTCACTTGTTTATCCTCATCACTTACCACACAGGGTTTGCAGAACAGCTGGTAGCAAAGAGAATAGGAGTACTGCCTATAGTTTTGCAACTGAATAATGCTGTCTGACACATTTGGGGATATAATCATGCTTTTTAAATTTGCTTAATTAAATAGCAACAGACCCTTGAAAATACCTGGTCTATCTTTGAGAAGTACTTTTCAATATCCTAAACTTGCAGAACTTTCCACAAGAATAGTTACATCGCATTTTGAAAGTGAGTTAAGGGATGGAATCTTTTGGCAACAGTCCCCCAGAGGTCAGCATGACAATCTCCTCATCGCTTCCTGATTAGCCTAATGGAAACAGAGAAAGCCATTCTTAGGTTTCTATTCCTTGAAATCTTTTTCTAAGTAAAAGAGAAAGGATGTATTTTAAATGAAACTTTGCTTATACACATACACATCTGCAAAATTTCTTTGAAAAACCCAACAGCGTGATTTGGCAGTATAACCACGTTTAATCGTAATTATTGTACAAAAGTAAATATATCCTTCTACCATCCTTACTTAGCATTTCAACAGTCTTCAAAACCTTTTGAGAGGTATGTCATATATAGAGCTGTGTCATGAAACAAGTGGCCATGGGTAATGAAAAGCATTTATATCTTAGCTGCTTTCAAAGCTAAGCTACTTTTTGGCAAATTCTCAATTTCCATTACCCATGTTTCCCTCTCCAAAACAGTCACTCAAAGAAACAAACAAAAAAGGCATACATTTTAGTACTTCATTTTCAGAACTCAATGGATAATTGAAGTAGCTTAACTCTCTCTTTTTTTTTTTCAAAAGGTAGGTTTTGAGATGATTCCAGTTTTTCCTTTAGAAAATGTGAGTGCCTTTGAATATTACCTGATTGGTACCACTTGACTATTATCTTGCTGATCTTGCTGCCTCTAGACAGTCCAAGTGGTTCTTTATATTTCCATTTCTGGCAAATATGAGCCCTGGATGGGATTAGAAATCTGAACTAAAAAATTCCAAAAATTGGGGTGCCTGGGTGGCTCAGTGGGTTAAAGCCTCTGCCTTCGGCTCAGGTCATGATCCCAGGGCCCTGGGATGAAGCCCTGCATCTGGCTCCCTGCTCAGCAAGGAGCCTGTTTCCCTTCCTCTCTCTCTGCCTGCCTCTGCCTACTTGTGATCTCTGTCTGTCAAGTAAATAAGTAAAAGTCTTATAAAAAATAAAACTAAATTTAAAAATTCCAAAAATTTTCCTTCATTCCTGCTTCCATATCTATTTTTTTTAGTTAACCATCATTACTTTAATTCTTCAAAAATGATTAATCTTGAAACAAAATTTTATACAGAGAAAGTTAGATTTTGATTTTTTAAAATTTTTTAATACTATTTTTTTTATTTCTTTTCAGCGTAACAGTATTCATTGTTTTTTGCACCACACCCAGTGCCTATTCTTGACACAGAATACCATTTCCTTTTTTGCGATATACAGCACATTGATCCTCCCATGTGAAATATTTCACAGCTACTTTAACCTAAAATTATAGTTCCTTCTTCTGAATTTTAATTGTGGTATTAGTTTACAACATGTAGTGAGTTGTCTGTATTTATTTTTATACCGTTCTTTGATTCTTTTATAGGTGTTATTTTGTTTCCCTAGAAAGTCTGAATATTCCTTGAAGTCTCCATTAATTGCATATTTAACTTTTTGATATAAGGCACACTGAACCAAATCGTCAATGCAGTAGGCATTCAATAAACATTCATTGCACAAAACCTAACAAGTTGCAAGGCAAATCTGAGCTAGTATCTATAAATTTATAATACCTATTATGGTTTTGGAAAATTCTCCGGTGCCATTGGCTTTGTCACTGTGCCCAGCTATTTGATGTCCATATTATACTTCAGTTTTATGTAATCCAATGAATATATTTTTACTAAACAGATATTTCTAGGTAAACCAGCCCATGATTGCAATAGTTTGATAGGCATAAAAGGGTTTCCTGGGGCTTCCTTGTCATTATTCAGGGAAAAAAATGCATAAAATATGTAAATATGACTTACCACCTATTAGGCATTAGCACAATTTCCCTCTGACATAGTGTTAAGAAAGTTCTAATGCTCCACTACAGTTACATTGCTAATAACAAATTTTCTGATGTAAAAGAGCAAGGAAATAATAAACTGAAGAAAAATATAAAGAAAGCTGGAGAATCAATAAATTTCTTAATAGTGAACCATGCTAGGCAAGTGAACAGATTCTTTTGGGAGAAATGTTGGAAACATGCCACTTTCATCTTTCAAGGAGATTAAAAAAACAACAAACAAAACAAAACAAAACAAAAAACCCTCAATGCTGTACATACTTGGACAAGGCACCCTGGCAGGAAGATCGGGATTTACAGACCCAAAAGGTTATTTCTATCATGAATTGTGTTGCTTCACAGCACTGACAATTTCTTTGCATTAGTATTTTATACTTATCCACTGCACACATACATGCACACACACTTACACACACATTCCATATATAACTTGAAACACATTGTATTTGAGTCTGTTATCTTTCTTTAAGAAAAAATATGTAACCTTTGAAATATAACAGCATATTCTGATACTGGGAATATAGAAAGATTTTAAAGTCTTCAAGATATTGTCTGAAAAGTGCAAATCTTAGGTAAATTTAAGGAAGTGAGCCAAGTTTATGGCTTTATCCTAGAGCAAGATTAATAATCTTAGATGAGGGGATGGGCATTGTAATTTCAGAGCAATCAATCTGTATATCAATGGCAGAAAATAAAATCTGGGGAAGCATACTAGTTTAAAGTGGAGGAGGAGAATGAAATTTAGGCTCAAAGAACAGAAAGTGCTTTCTGCAAAGAAGTTACAAGGTGAAATCTGAACTAATATTCATAAATTTATGATATCCGTTATGCCTTCCATTCCCCTTCCCCTTTGTAGACAAGTTCACAGAGTTCTATTACAGGAAAAATGTATATTTACAGAGCTCTATTACAGGAAATATATATATATAACACACTCACAGAAGCACACATGAGCACCAACATACAGAACCAGTAAACTAGAAGGTAGAAAAAAAAAAACCTGAGAGACTAAAAAATAAAGCCAATATGATTTTTAGGGTAATTTTTTTATGACGCTATTTTTTTCCCCAACTTCAAAAAAGAGACTCAGATTGAAAACCAATTTAACCCTATAAACTTCTGTTCTCCTTCATGTATGCATCTTCAAAACTGAAATTTTAAATTACAAGACTAGGCATGGTACAGTGATCGATGTTTGTATTTTCAAACACAAGGAAGAGACATGGTAACTACCTTTCCTAACTAAAACTTCAGAAATAACTTTTAATAAAGTACCAGGCCTCCATGATTCTTCTAAAATCTTTAAATGATTTTTCTTTCCATCTGCCCTGCAACAGGGTTAACTTTGCGAAAGTCTTTACCATCCATCTACTTCTATGCAAAAAGGTGTCTTACATTTAGCTTCAAAGGAGTGTCACAGATTTATCCCCACCCCCTCCTCACTCCTTTCCTCCCTCCCTTCCCTAGCAACTGTTAACCTCAGAAAGAGAACTCCAAATCTAGAAACAGTTGGTCTCTGGCTTCATTCGAGTTGCCAAGCAGCTCTAAGGCAGAAGTGCAAGTCCTCTCTCCAGACTGAATTGGCCTAATCGGCATTCTGCTGGTTTTCTCCATCACCTCACAAAGGTTTTCCTGATCAACTTTCTGCATGGCTTGTATTGAAAATGTGTAAGTACAAAACTGTATAGTACTGTTTAATTTTGAAGGCAAAAGGCATTTTTAATTGGGACAGGGACAAGTGGGCTGGAGAGCGTGCAGGAGGGGATCACAGACAAAAACTTTGCAGGATACAAAATCTGGTACTAAAAATACCGCATTTAAGGGCAGCAATTGTATTTATTTATTTATTTACTTATTTATTTATTTGACAGAGAGAGAAATCACAAGTAGTCAGAGAGGCAGGCAGAGAGAGAGGGAGAAGCAGGCTCCCTGCTAAGCAGAGAGCCCGATGCGGGACTTGATCCCAGGACCCTGGGATCATGACCTGAGCCGAAGACAGAGACTTAACCCACTGAACCACCCAGGCACCCCAAGGGCAGCAATTCTTACATGTAATTTTGAAACAAAATTGCAAATCCTTAGTCCAAATAGTTGGTATTAAACTTGAGGAAATTCGTTCTCTAGGGTGTGGTACGGGTTAAATGAAAGAAAATTTTAACAAAATTCTGTTGCAAATGGTGAATGGTGCTTCAGAGAGACAAACACACTAGAGCATTTGTTAACACAGATAACCTTTCTTTGACTTCAGTGGAGAAAGAAGAAGGAAAAAAAAAAGTCTTTCCTTACAAAACTTTCTAGAACACTCGTGCCAGAATCTGAATGCTGGGCTTTAGTGGAGCATGGGTCCTACGGGGGGACTGGAAAGAGCTGCTGTTTTCTATGGCAAGCCTGCTCATGCATCCCTTAAAGAAACTCTCTGGGTCTTTGCTTCCTTGCTGCGTTGAGGAGGTGGGGAAATGAGGAATGGGGTGGAGCCACAAGAAAGCCATAAAGGGAAATTGGGGTATCTGTTTAAAAGAAGCCATCCGGTATGGTGAGCATAGGCTAAAAAAGTGCTCGCTGACTTTACGTGGGAGGAGATAGGCTCTCCCTTTACCTTTATATAGGTATATTCCAGCGAGTTTAATCAATCACATATTTCCAGATACTCTCAGATCACTGCATTTCCTATTTATTTATTTAATTATTTCTAGTTTTGCAAGCCTTGGTGGACACGCCCCTTCACCTAATGGAGCAATTGCCAATGAGTGTGGGATGCGGGAGTCGCGTCCCGACGACATGTCCCTCCAGCGTCCAAGTTCCATGCCAAAAGATGATGAGGAGGCTTGGGGCCACCATTGGGTCCTGCTGAGAGCTCCCGTCAGTGTGCTGACTGACCTGGCAAGAGAGCAGCTGGAACGACCCTCCGAGACAGCAGGAGCTTGCATTCCTGTCAACAGTTCCAGAGCTCACAAACACCCCTATGGGCCACCACCTGTTGTTATGGAAGAGTCCCTAGCAACAACAGAAGTAAATAGCTCTGAGGGGTTGGCAGGCTGGAGGCTTAGAGAACAGGATTCTATTAATGTGTCCCAGGAATTCTCTGGCAGCCCTCCAGCACTGATGATAGGGGGGGCAAGGGTGAGCAGTGGGGACACCCAAAGAGGTGGCAATAATGCAAAGTTATACCTGGTTTTGCCAGGTCAAGGGTTCTTTCCATCCAGGGGTCTGCAAGTTAGAGGGCCCCCACATATCCCCACCGTTAGATCAGGGGTAATGATGGAGCTGCCTCCAGGAAATACAAGAATGGCCAGCAAGGAAAGGCTGGCTCATGTTTCTTTCCCACCAGAAGGCCCCCAGCACCCAGTGGAGAACTGGCCTAAGCCTCTCCCTTTGTCTTCCAGTACTCCCGGTTTACCTTCTCACCCTACTGCTCACTGCTTTATATCTCCTCGACCTCCAAGTTTCAGTCCATTTCTTGCTATACCTATTGCTTTTGCTCCACCCCCGATATTTGGTCCTACCCTGCCTTCTTATTTGGCCAATTTTCCTTCCTGGGGCATGCCTGCTCCTGAGCTCTCAAACAGAGAGAAAAACTGATGACAAGAAAGGGCTGGGGGAAAAGGTGAAAATTACTCATTTATGTTTTAATATTTGAAAACCCCCTACCCTCTTAGATTTTGCTTGCCTTATGTGTTTGGAGATTCAATAAAGATTCTGAAGTTTGAAATATTGTGAATTGTTTTTAAAAATGCAACCCCGGGAGCTTAAACTTTTGCTTTTGTTTTCTAACTTTAAGGAAATTAAAGCAGTCATGTGCTAGTACTTTCTAAGTAGCTTAGTTGAATCCCTAGTCTTGGCTTGCTCCTGTGTGACTGGGGGAGGGTCAATAGTGTTCTTGCAAGGCCAGATCTAGGGTGGGGAATTACTATCTACCTAAGGCTATGGGGGTTGTTCACAATAGGATGGAAAAAATAAAATAAGGTACATAAAGTAGACCAAAGTCCAGATAATAGAGAAAAATGCACAGTGAGTGAGAATAGATGAGACCAGTGAGGGTACTAACCAACACTTAACAGCCAATTAGAGGCTGAACCAGGCTCAAAGGTGAGGAAAGAAAAAGGCAGGAGTGGGATGCCTGGGTGGCTCAGTGGTTAGGCCTCTGACTCTTGATTTGGAATCAGGTCATGATCTCAGGGGTAAGATGTAGCCCCAGATCAATGCTGGGCATGGAAGCTGCTTAAGATTCTTGCTCTCTTATTAAAAAGTAGAGGAGTGGGCAAGGTAGATAAAGTTGTAGATCATTGCTTCAAACATGATCTAGTCTGCCCCTCAACACTACACTGTTCAGGTATATGAACACAGTATATACAGAGCTGGCTTTATAAAAGTCCAGGGACAAGGTGGAAGAGGGCTGATCTCTTCACCTATTGCTTGAATACAGGGCTACTATCTACTCAGAACTTTTAAACACAAATGAAAATATTTTACTCACATAGAATTATTTTCTCTGATACTGCTGTGTTTGTACTCTATAATGTGCTGAGATGCCTTATTATACTGATGGTTCTGAGAGATTATCACAATGTCTGGATAGAAGCTTTTTCAAATTCCAGCGACAGATGTGCAGCATGCAGAGTGGAAAGATGGTCATTCTGACCACTGCACAACTCATTCACTATATAGTAAAATGCCCTAAAACAAAGCGCCATTATGTATGAACAACCACTAAATTAGAAATGTCTTTAGAGAATGATTCTTCAATTAATCATTTTTTCAGGTCCATAGCTGATGGTGTAGGTGATGTAAGCAGTTAAAAGCTGAGAAAACCTGTAGATCCAAAAGACATCTAGCCTTTAAACAAAGCCTTAATGTGTTTTTAGCACCAATAACAGGTTTGTTGCTACTCTGACAAAGAAGGCACATGGATCCATAAAGTTTCTTTTTCTCCATTTATTTAATAATAGACTGTTTTAAATTTACAGGTGACAGTGCAGGGCTTAGAAGGAGCATCTGGATAATGCTTGCTAAAATTCCCTTCGCTCTTTGTATGTCTTAAGGCTGGCACAATTCCATCAATTCACTATGGTGGGTTGAGCAGAAGTATTCAGCAAATCATTTGACAGCTGCTCACTATGAGGTAGCTTAGTCCCAGTGTACCAAACACTTACTGAATTTTCAGCCTTAATGAACAGAGGAGTTGGGCCTGCTTATAGTCATCAAAGATATCTTTTGAGCCAGATGTTAAAAGATGTTTTGACAAGAAATCAAGTTGTGTCAACAGTAGTGCTGAATCTCTGGAGAGTTGCCAAAAGGTGTGTAAGTGACAGCAGGACAGGATACATTTTCTTTCTCAAAGGAAGTAGAGTGATAAAGGCTCTGAAAGACTACCCACAATTACAACAATTCATGACAAATTCTCTGTAACAAGGAAGTTCCACCAACACAAACTGCTGGTTTTCAGCAATCTTTCTCTTTTGTAACACCCTGTGTTTGTTATTTTTTGTGTCATTTCTCAGCACTGAATACCTATAGTGAGCAATAAAAAAATAGCTATTAATCAACTGAGGCATTGAAGTTTTATTTATAACTCTGTGATATAGGATGAATATATTTTCTTTAGTTTATGGAGAGCTCTGTGCCTATATAACAAATTTCAGTAAGTGTAAGTATAGAATAAGCCTGGGATCTTGTTGTTAAATGCAAGTAAATTGTAAGTATTTTTGTTTATTCACACCCTCTGTATGGGAATACGGTAACATTTCATTATCATAGGTGCCGGCATCCTCAATGACAGCCAAACATTCATTTTAAACACATGATTTGCCTTAAAAATGCTATTTTTAAATTATTGTAGTATAACATAAGCAAATATTAACCTATAGCACAACATCCTATTCAATTTGGAAAGTGCTCATAATGCAACATATTCATCACTCTTGAACATAAACATTTTCCTTTTCTTTTCTGTGGCTTAAATAGCTCTTTATTGCAAAAGGAAAAGATAAACATCATCAAAGTAGCCCTTTCTTCTGCTAGTAATGGGAATTGGGTTAAGTATTTCCTATTGTCACAAGAAGATTCATGTCATACTGTTTATTATTTATAGTTCTCATTATATTCTATGTCACAAGATTGTAGCACCAGAATTTTAATGTCCTATATATTCTCTAGAAGGTAATCATAAACTGTACAACTTTGACCTTTTCTATGTCCCAAAATATGATTCATTAGCCTTTTATATTTTCCATTGTTTACAACTTCTGTGGCTTACTGGAAGAAGTACACATGGAGCAAATCAAACTGAAGAATACTGAAAAAGTTAAAGTTCAAAGTTATGAAATTTTTTAAGTTTATAGTCTTACATAAGCTAGAATGTCATTAAAAGTACATCTCATTCTTCTGAGAATTATTATAATAAACACTAACCAGGGCCAAATAATTTATTTTTCACTGGAGTACTCAGGTTGAGATCATAGTGCTATCTTTATGTACCATGGAATAAGTGTTTTGTTTTGTTTTGTTTTTCTTTTCTTTGTTTTTTTTTTTTTTTTTAGTGGTTGCCACTGAATAATTAGGTTGCATATATATAATGGGGAATGATATCCTTACATAACTATTACATTATACTATAACAATGGATTTGGATTATCAAGTGTTATTAAGAGATTTTGATTTTTATAGGGCTTAAATACAGAACTATGTAAAATGACTCTATTTCAAGATGAATGCACCAACCCAGAAATAAAAGAAAATTTAGGCAGATAAAAAAACACTCTGTGATGGGGCACCTGGCTGGCTCAGTCAGTAGAGTATGCAAATCTTGATCTTGGGATTGCAGAGTTTGAGCCCCACACTGCGTATAGAGTTTACTTTAAAAAAAGAAAAAAAAAAACGCTATGTAATGTCATAGATTGATTCCACAGCTATCACAAAACCTTATGTGTCTTCTTTATAATAAGCTAGATTGAATGATAGTCCCACAGAAAGAGCAAGTGATGGGACTAAATTAAGTGAAATAACCCATCTATTTTTCTGTGGTAATATTCATTTTTTCTTATAATAATGGAAATGTATTGTATTTATCAAATTAAATCTAGATCTGAGAAGTCAGAGAAATCATGCTTCATCATGCAATCTTTTCCTTAAGTTCTTGAGGTGATATTACTTATTTTTTTTTTGAAAGTAGGGTAATTCTTTTTTTTTTTTTTAAGATTTTATTTATTTATTTATTTGTCAGAGAGAGAGAGAGGGAGAGAGAGTGAGAGCACAAGCAGGCAGAGGCAGAGAGAGAAGCAGACTCCCTGCTGAGCAAGGAGCCTGATGCGGGCCTCAATCCCAGACCCTGGGATCATGACCCGAGCCATAGGCAGAAGCCTAACCCACTGAGCCACCCAGGCATCCCTACATACTTTTATTTGTTTATTTTTTTAAAGATTTTATTTATTTATTTGACAGGCAGAGATCACAAGTAGGCAGAGAGGCAGGCAGAAAGAGATGGGGAAGCAGGCTCCCCACTAAGCAGATAGCCCGATGTGGGGCTCGATCCCAGGACCCTGAGATCATGACCTGAGCCAAAGGGAAAGGCTTTAACCCACTGAGCCACCCAGGCACCCCCCTACATACTTTTAAATACATACTTTTTCACCCATCTTTGGGGACTTCACTGCCACTCAGAAGTGAATTTCTCAGATAAATATCAATTTCTCAGATAAATTATCTGTGGAACTTATTTTCATAAAGTGACTCCACCATTGTTTTTAAAGAATGGACTGGTATCCTGTATGACTTTATGGAGGTAAAATGTATTTTTTTCAACTCTGAAAATCTCTTTTCCTAAGCAAAATAAGATAATGTAAAGCACACAAACCCATCAATCCTACCATAAAGGACTTTGTCCATCCAATTGTTTAATCATATAATTAATGGGGAAATGTTCATTTATAATTAACTTCATCCAACATCCTAATTGTAAACGTTTTGACTCAGAGACAAAGCAACACAAGGAGTACAGGGGTTGATGGATGGTGTTTGTGCATGTGAGAGAAAAACTGATGCAGAGAGACAGAGGATTAAAAATAGAGAGGAGCGGCATCACTGTCAATTGAGAAGAGATGAAATGTTTTAGGACAGGAAGCAGCTGCAAATTGGAAGTACTGTGGGAAATGTAATAAATTTGGATATTGAAGAATATAACCCAGAGAAGGTAGAGAGGGGCAGTTTGAAAAGAAAAAAAAAAGTTCTATGGATTAAGTATTTAATAACAGAAAGGTTCCGTGTAGGAGCCACACATTCGAGAGGGTGGGGGGGATGAGGTGATCAGAGAAACACTATCTAGCCTTCTTAAAAATGAATCTATCTCCACAGCTTCACTCCTTCCTATAAATAGCATCTCTCCTTAGATAGCAGCCAATCTCATATTCCCTATGTGAAACTAGAAACTCCTTCTGTTTGAGGTTTCATCAAACCCCCAAACTGGCCTTGACAAGCACACACAACATCATCAAGGTTAACTCTATTAGTGAAGTACGTATGCAAAGAATTAAGCTCACAAAATAACATTTTTCTTCTCAAGTTCTGAAATAAATATGGACCTGAACTTTTTTTTTTCATTTTTAAAAACTTAAACTCCAATCATTTTTTCCTTTAGTGAGGTACATTGATAACTTTCTAATTTTGCCGTTTTACTCCTCCTACTAAATCATAATTTTCTGAGGTGTAGTT